TAAATTTACCAGATAAATGATACAAACTCCGTCCCAAGTGCAAACAATATATATTATATGTCTTTGATCTTGCTCTCTTCTACACTACATGTTTCGGCCTCTAACGGCCATCATCAGGTGTATAGTCTTACGTTGCTGCCACACTGAACCCAGTCTAAAATTTAACATTTAAAAAACACATTGTTATTTTCTTCGTTATTATCAACATCTACCTCGTTGATATCTGTCTGGTATGTAGATTATTTTGCACACGTCAATTTTGATTTTGCTGTAGTAGCACTATAAAATCTTTAGTTAGTTTTAAAATCCTTTAAATTTTTCTCTAAATTTTAAATTTAAAATTTAGAGAAAAAAAATTTCAGCTGAATTTATGAACCAGCCAGGTGCATTGGCGTGTCCACAAGAATCGCTGTAGGTCCCTAATCTGAGGCAGAAGAATTCTGTCAACACACTTCCAACCTGTTCCTCTAAGATCTATCTTCATATCATTCTTCCATCTGCGTTCAGGTGTTTCGGTCAGGGTTTTCTGCCAAACTTTTGTATGCAGTTCCTTTTCGTCCCACGAGTGCTCTACGCCCTGCCTATCTCATCCCTTTGGTTTGATGAACATAATATCCGGCGAGGAGTATAAGAATTATTAAGCTCTCATTACGTATTTTTTGTCCAGCCTACAGAGACTTCCTTCCTCTTGGAGGAGAAGAACAAAGGAGATCGACAAGAAAAACGAAACAATTAATGGTTAACGTTGTAATTAAAGATTAATTATGAAATGCACGTGAATTCTGATATGGCGATATAGGCCTGTTATAAATAGGTTACCCAGAAATGTAAGTCATAACTAAGAAAGTTGAATATCATATGGAATAAAACTAAGTTTTATATTAATTTTTAATAACTGAAAACAGCAAAATATTAAAAATAAATATTTATACAAACAAATGACCAAAACGTGGCGACAAATGAGAATACATATGGATAATTTTATCTCTTAAGTGCTATGGACCCTAGAGACAGTATCGGTGATTCCACCCTAATTTTTATATATCTCTCGTATTCCATTCTGTGCAACATCTACAGCTAACAGAGCGTTAGTAAGTGAGCTGAGAATGAATTAGGAATTTAGCAATGCGGTGTTTACGCAATGCAGTAAATTTATCTTATAATTCTGTGACATACACGGATATGGGAAAAAATATTAAAGGGAGGGAAGTTAAACTTGACTCCAGATGTCGCTTGAAACGCTTTCGCATGTGCTTAAGAAACAGGACGCCTCGAGGGCTATTAACAAAGGGGGGCAGCCATCAGAAAGTTATTTTTTACAGGGAGGAAGCGGAAAATTTATTTACAATTTACGTTTAAGCCGTTAAAGAATATTTTTATGGGTCTTCCTATAATTCTGGATCTCTATATTGAAAAATGGTTGCCCCACAATCTCTGTTCAAGATCTTTTGCCAGAAATATGTGTTACATTTCCTTCTAATCCAGATGGGAACAGATATCTGGGTCACCCCTTGTTGGCATCCATGGTTTAAGAGTACCAACACTGTGGCACTTTGTGACTCTCTGAATTATATTTAACAGTATAAAAGTTATTCTTCAGTGCAGTTGTGTGATTCTATATTATATTATTTTGGCAGACAGTTAATTTGTGACAAGAAAATAACTCATATGACAGCACAGATAGAATGCATCCCATCAAGAGGAAGTACAAGGGGCAGATTGCAAGTCCTCTGAGGAGGACTCTGGGTTATATCATATTATTATGGCTGCTATTTTGTTTACGACAGCAAAATAATTCAGATACTAAAGCAAAGATGGACAGAATACATCCCAGAAAGAGAAAATAGAAGGCAGATTGCAAGTGCTGTAAGGTGAGTTTAATGTACTCTCCAGGAGGCAGATTGAAGTTAGAAGCTAAATCCAGAGTGGCAGAATACTGTAAGTCTTTCCACCACTTCTCCATGAAACCTCCCTTCAACAAGTCCATGATGATTTTATTAAATGTCTCTAATAACTGAGAGCCCCTTGGGACCGGAAAAGTTGCAAGCTGTATGGAATATATCTCATCAAATTGGCACACCAGCTTCTTACTGTCACCATCCAAATATTTTGCAGCCGCGAAATATCCCATGCCATATTTGGAAAAGAAAAACGCCATATCACCTTTAAAAGCCATTCTGTCTTCACAAGCTGTAAGATCTTGACAGATGTGATATCGCTGATGAGGTTCATCCTGCATACTGGGAATAAGTGATAGGATCGTTTGTGGAATGCCCAACGTCATTCCAGAATCAAGAAGTTCAGCCTCTGAAGATATCTGGTGTTGGAGACCCGGGTTGATTAAGTAGGAGGTCATGTAGGTCTGGTAGACAGTGTTCAGAGCCCAGCAATATAACACCCACATGAAGAACACTGCTCGTATGACAGCTACGTGAGGTGGGTTGTTGGAAGCAGACTCTTCCAAGATGATGGCCCAGAAATTCAGAAGACATTTCATTAAACTGGTATAAGCCTGATTCTCTACTGGCTCTGTTGAGATGTTGTTGCTCAGTTTCACGACAAGCCACATGACAGTAGAAACGACGACATAGAATGATAGGAAGGCAAGCCATAATGACAGTTTGAACACTCTACTGATGCTCATCCATCGAGGGTAAGGTTTTGCACAAGGAATATACCACCGTAACTGGTCAACTGAATGTGGGGTCAAGCACTCAGCTTCTTCTAACAGGTGACATCTATACCACCAGTTCCCTGTAGCAATATCCGAATAACTTCTGATTATTTCTCCAGTTACACCGGTCCAACTTCCATTTCCTAAATTTATTCCCCATCTCCCTCCGTCAGCTGGAAGATCCAGGAAATGTATAGACATGTTTATTTTCATGCAGATGTGTTCAAGTAGCCTTACTTCTAAGCCCTCGTCAAATATAACTTTGTTGGGATCATTTTTTGTGGTCTTCTTCCTGCCAACAAAAGGCACAAACTCAAATGTGGAAACTCTCAGTTCACATCCATGAAAGTCATCTGGAATTTTTGAAGGAAATAGTGATATGTTATAAAGAAACTTGCTTTTGCCTCTCTCATCTGGTACCCATTGATCGAGCAAGGCAGCGTCTTTGATGTTGGTGCAATGGCCTGGAGGCTTATATGGAAACCATGTGTAAACGTCTAATATTGGAACATAGTCTGGTTCTGCAGTGTTGCCATTCTCTAACACAGGAGCTACAAGAATTGCATTCAATATTTTCCATTTCCACAATTTAGAGAACAAGTCTGATGCAAGTTTATTTAAATTTCCATGCACATTCACAGACACGACTACAAATTTTGCTCGTGAATTCAAATATTTGGTTTCATACAACCTTGAGATTTGCTGTGCAGTGTCCCTTACCACGTCTTGATATTCACAATAATATGATATAAGTATGTAGTTTTCGTACTTATTCTGTGATAACTGATTCCTTTTACCTCCATAATTTTCTTGAATGTAGAATAAATTCCGTTCTAATTCAAATAAATCTCGTAGAATCATGTTCGTCTCAAAACTTGGAGAAGGAGGCATGATGGTCCTAGAAGTGCCTGGTGTGATGCTGGGCCTGTTGTCCAGAACATTGCTGTCTGAAATGATCACAGTGCTCGACAGTGTGAAGTGTCTTGTGACAATATCGTGCAGACATTGCAACAGGTGATGATGCAAATCGCCTGATGTATTCACCAAACCAGTCAGTAAGAAAACATATAAACACGTTGGTATCATATCAATTTATAGTTTTGTAATCAGATCACAACCTTTTAGAGGATCCCTTTTCCAAATTAGAAGCTGTATTTCATCTGTGTATGACTGTTCCCATGAGGGGGTTATGAAATGAAGTATAATTCTTTATTAAATGCTATTATAAAGCTTGAACCGATTTACAGAGTACATAGATTGTAAGGAAAGTGAATATCCTTTCCTCATTCTTCATTTGTGGCTTGGGGAAAAATCTGAATTTTCAGGTGTATTAGTATTAATATGTGTTCGATCTGTATCTTCCTGTGTTACTGGCTAATGTAACGCATGTATATGACCCATGAGTTATGTAGTGACACTGAGCATACACTGATTTACAGTACACGTTCTGATTAATAGAAACTTAAGTGATGGACACGGTCACTGAATTTTTGATGAAGCTCACTGGAGATGTCAACTCTACAAATCAGGGCAATGAAGACAAGCTTATGGAAGGAAGTCTTGTGAATATTTGAATATCTCACTGATGTATGAAAATCATGTGTTGAAAATAGAATCTAGTGATTTTCTAATGATGTCATAATGGTCAGCAACATTAACTGGCAAATGAAATGCCTTTGTTCACATAGTAGATGAGGTATATATTGTTCATGTTCCTTAGATGAAGGTTCTTCTTACTCTGGAGGCATTGTAAACGTCTTAGTATCAAATTGACAGAACATAATGCAGTAAGCACTGGTTTATTGCCATACAACTTCATGTGATTGAATGGGTATCTTTTCTGCTTTGCATCTGGGAGATCTATGGTCCTTGTTTTGACTGATGCTTTCATGGCTTTCCTCATCCCCTCCATCAAATTCCAGGATAGTATCATACATTAATCCATGACGCTTCCTTCCAGATCATGTCCAATTTATTGTTTATTAATTCCATTATTCCACATTATATGACCTAATGTTGACAGCATCTCAGGCTACGACACATTCTGAGCTACTGGTAATATCATTATATAATCCGTAAACAAACAGTTTCTATTTACTGAACATGGTTCTATTTTGGTTTCTGCTCTATTTTATCAGGATTGCAGACACTCTCCAATAAATGCAGATTTCCGTACCATTAAGGCTCTGTTTCAGACAAATTCTGTTGTGTATACTGGCTTGTTCCTGTATGCTCGTACATGTATGTGCATGTGTATGACCTTTGAAGGCTGGCATTGAGCTAGATTAAACTGAGAAGGTTTCAGGAGTAAATGAATAAACAGAGACACTGTTTTACTTATATTTAATGCAAGACATGTAATAATCATAATTTGATTTACCACTTACTGGAATAAACACAGATATATATCATTCCACTTTGTGAATAAAATTTGTGTGAAAAAGTTTGGTTTGCATTAATTTTACTTCATGAAATATTTAATGACAAATTTATCTTTGCAGTAATAGATTACATAGTTCAGTAAATTTTAATATTGTCTTACATTAAGTGTCTGATTTAATCCCTTTTTAGTTGCGGTCTTTAAATAAGAATTCTTTATATTTACTATGTGGCCAAAACTTTGAATATAATATTAAGTAGGGCTCCTTGGTCTGGCAAACATTAAACTGTGATACATTTTACATTCCTATGATGCTGATCCTTAGTCAGTAACTGCTTACAGCACAAGGGATTCCAAATATTTTGTTTCTTGCATGCTGTCATTTATTTGTATAAGAAGTGTCTGATCATATCAAAAACAAAGTTTATTCCTTTTTGAGAATTGTACTTCTACAATTATGTAATTTTTAATACTATTTTAATTATTAATGACAGTTCTTATGAATATAAAGTCACAGTTTTTTATAACATATTTTATTACTACAATAAGAAGCAATGCAGATCTGAAGAGTATGATCTTTTGGGTTATTAGCTCATGCAGTTTTGAGACAGTTCAAATCTCAGAGGATCATATCACTTCCATCTACAGGGTTGAGGAGTAAGCCAACAACAACAACACCAGTAACATGAACAAAACCAGGTGGAAAGCTAAGCAAACTGCACATGAAAGATCTGGCCTGTAAGTAGCTGTGAGAGGGCCACCACTCAAATGACAGATGTCTTGAACATCCCGTCAATCCGGCAATGGCAAAGTGCAGCATCAATTTCGGTCAATGTAGCCAGCTCCATCCCAACAACATGAACTTGAAGGATGATATCTGTTTAAGTAATTCATGGGAACCTCTCATCTTCTCACTGAGATAATGCGAGAAACCTTCCTCGTAGGTGGTTTCTTGCAAAATGGTTCTTCAAGCAAGTTGGCACATGCCCCCGCTACATTTGAGGGCATGGAGTCTGCCCTTTCAGTACTCCTAGGCTTCCTTGACTGTTTTGGTAACAGTATATTACCTCACTCTTCTTGGTACATATTTTCCGTTCCTCTTGGTCCTTTTACCCCTGCCTAGCCTGTTCTCCAGACATCATACATAAAACTTTTCTCTAGCCCAACTTCAGTTGGTTGCAAATGGCCCTGTTCAGGTCCCAAATAAGTACCATTTCCTTTGCTTCCATTGGCTCTCTCTGACTCCACTATCAGACAGTGGTCACTCTTCAATCAGCTTTTTGAATGCTCCTTGCAGACATGGACTGGATTATATCAGGCCACATATTCCACACAGATTTCGCTTATTTTTCCATCTGCTTCTGCTGGTTTCTTGCTTGGCTTACCCTTTGATCCTGAAGATGGAGGCAACATATTTCTCTGAAACATTGATCTCTCTTTAAACTACCAATATTACAACCCAGAAAGCCATACACTTCACAGTCAGTGCCATGAGAATCTCAAGCCTAATGATATAATTCTGTTAGCAGAAATATGATTCTTGTACAGCACTAATGAGAATTCTGTACATGCAGTGCAGGAAAATTCCATTGTGATTGAATTAATCATTATTTGTGAGACCTCATATGCCACCCAGCTGACCATCAGTTCCCACTAATGGGATGTATCCCACTGGAAGAGTAACACTGTTCCATAACCACATGACCTCAAGCTGTGAATTTCCTTCTTTAAGAGGACCACGTATCAAATTTCACATAATACCAACAGTGAAAAACATGAATCTCAGGTTTTCTTGCTTTTTAACTTGAGTATAAAAATACAGAAGCCACACTCAAGCAGAATCCACAGAATGGTGATGAGGAATCCACTGTATACCTGTGAGTCTAGTATGCTTTTCCCTCGTCTCAGGATATCATGCATCGACACAATGGGAACTGTGCCTGGCAGACAGAAGGCCACCACTCGTAGCAGTTCTGGCATACCCTCAAGTGGCCACAACATGCCTGTTACCCACAACAAGACAGTGGTAAGTGTATTAAAACTATCTTTACATACATATTATACATATATATTTCAGGATCCAGGATAGCGCAGTTGGTATAGTGACTGGCTCTGGGTTAGACGATGGAGGGTTTGGAGTTCAAGTCCCAGTAGGGTCAAGAATTTTCTCTTCTCCATGTCATCCATACCAGTTCTGGGGCCCACCCAACCTCCTATCCAAAGGAAGCCAGGGAGGGGGAGCGCTCTTTCTCCGGGAGTAAGGCGGCCAGAGCGTGAATCTGACCACTCACCTCCAACTCGTGCCAAGGTCAAGAGTACTTGGATCTGTATATCCACCATCTCATACACCTTTATGGCGCAGTGCTTAATTCATTATGTACAGTGACCACTTTACTTTTCTTACACACACACACACACACACACACACACACACACACACACACACACACATATATATATATATATATGACCGCACTGTTTACATATCTCCAAAACTTATCACTATATGTACTTCATTTTTGCAAGTAGTATTCAATGTAACACATCAGTGCTTCTTTGCAAAAACAAAACACCACTCTCCATTTTTACCTGTAACTGTCACAACATTTCATGTAAGTAGCCAGAAATGAATAAGAATAGGGAGACCAGTTACAAGTGGAATATTGACTGTTATTTAATCCTAACAAAGATCATGTAACTATTTGTTTTGTATGGGAATTGATGTACATACCACATAAGAATATGTAAGGATAGAAGCTACCGAGCGAAAAGTAATTTGCTGTTGTGAGATTGTCACATGTCGTTGAAACGAGGAAACCTGAAAATAGGAATTACAATTTCATTTTCAAGCATTAGATCTCACAAAGAAGTGCTGCAAAAATGTTAACATTATTCTACCCAGCGCTTCCATAAGTAGGTGTGGGAGTTTCACAGTTAAGCGGACCGAATCAACACCAAAGCAGTGATCATGAAGTACAACGTTATTATTATTATTTGAGGGGGTGGGTTTCCCCATGCACCGCAACCAGTGGTCTATTGTACGTCCCCCTGTGATATTCTACCAGTCTCTATACCCTACCGATACTGGTGCGTGCTATCAGTCCCGACTCAGCCAGCGAGTTCGGCCTCTACTGGCTCAGCAGAATCTAGATGCTTCCCCCATCTACCAGAGCCGTTAGAAGCTATTGTTGGGCGGAAAATGTCCTTATTAATTTGGCTCAGAGGCCTCCTTGAGGCATGAGGTTCTTTTACGTGCTGTAAAGCTACGACACGGGACCCACGGCTTAAAGTCCCTCTCTGAGGACTTGTTCCCTGAATTTTTCCGCCCTTAAAAATTCCATGACCTCCGCCAGGTTTGAACCCAAGTACAACGTTCTGTAGTTAATAGTATAGAAAAGTCAGAGGTAACCTGATGTAAGACATTATCTAAGTTAAATCCTTGTTTGGGGATTCAATTTTTATTCCTTACTTGAATAATTCCTGTACTTATATCATCACTGATTAAGATCATTCATGTGATTTGGGCATAAGAACCAAAACATTTTCTTAAACTGAGGTAGACAAATATGTAAACAAGAAACAAGCAACACACATGAAGTTACTGTAGCGTGTTAAGAAACAAAGATGGGATACAGTCTGAAACAAGGACATTATGGAAGATTAAAAAAATTAAGAAGATTAGAACAATTTTCTATAAATAGAGATAGACTTATATGAAAATGCACTACAAGTGGACAAGTTTATTTTTCCTTTGAGAGCTTCAGATTTTAAACAATCAGCCATGAGGGGAGGTCAAGTGAGGAAGGTGTGCTTTATGCAGAAGAGAGTAAGGGAAGAGTGATCACAGATAGAAGAGAAGTGGTTATGAGAGGAATGTAGAAGTCAGAAGTTAAAACTGATTGTAGTCATGGAATTCTATTGTTCGTTTTATTCAAAACAAATGATTGTTTATTAAATCAGATTGTGTTGTGCGTTGGTCACTGATGCAGCAGGATATGCAGCTGGCTATTGGCTAGCCTGTTCATTTGCATCGGTGATGTAGTAGTGACTGATAGTGTGGTTGTTACCCATGCTTTATTTTAGATTGACTACTTTATTCTTACATAAGATGTCAGGAGGGAGATCATAAGGTGCATCTGCAAGTAGTGAAATTGCTATTAATTCTGATGGGTAAGAAGTGTGTTTTTATTCCAACTGTGGACTGAAAGAAATTCCACAGTATTTCTACTCCACTTATGGATATTACTACATGAACTTTTAAAGCCTAGTTGTTCTTTATGTACCACATGGTTTTAGATACCAAAACCGTGCATTCTGCCCGTAGAACGTATTTGTATGTTCTGTATGCTCCTCACAGTATATAGTGATTGATTCCCTAAACAGCATTATTCAGTTGATTTTTAGAGCAAAGATGTAACGTGATTCTTGTGAAGTATAGACTGAGATTTTATTTGTTATTAGAAGAAATTCAGTCTTTAAGGGTTAATAGGGTTTGCTTTAAGAAATTTCATGACACAATTTCAAGAACACATTCCTGCCACAACGCAAGATATTTTGGGTACTGCTGTAGAGTGACCATATAATAGATTATGAAAGGAATGCTTTATTTATGTTGTTAAACTCATCTCAGACTGCTGGCCCTGTCTTTCAGGGACAGTTTCTGTCCACATCATCAGGGTTTCACCCTGAACAACTGACATGGCTAGTAGCCTGAGAAATTTGTATCAACTTCAGATACTGTAAAAGCTTGAACTCTTATATGCGTTTTTAATGTTCAGACTTCCCTTTACTGAAAGAAGAACAAAAAGTTGAATATTGGAACTGTAGAGACATTGAATGCTGAAGTTCAGTGTTACAAAGGCACAGTTGCATTTGTGGAAGAATGAAAGTCTTATTTTTCTTACCAAAACACATGCCACAGAATCCTTGAAGACCAACCATCACTGTAACAGTGACCATATTTCCAACACAAGGAACATCAAATGCCCAGAATGCTAATATCAGTATAATAGTCATTTGCATTAACATGCAAACCATCTGTGAAATTATGTGTGCTATCAGAATCTCTGTTGTTGTTACACCTGAAAAGAAAGCAGACAGTTTGGATTAAATGAAGCAAGTAAACGTAAATTTTTGGCTAGCTGGTTAACCAAATGCATCAAAACAGAACACTTAAAAGTATTTTGTAGCATTACTATCCTGTTTGTTCCTCTTTTGTCTTGAACTATCATTGTGTATGAGAAGGAAGGGGTGCAATACTATGCCCAGGCTGGCTCTGGGGCAGAACTTCAATTTCAATTCAATTCAAATCTCCTATCCAAATGGGTACTGGTTTCTATCTCCCAGGGAGAAAAGTGGACATTGCTTTTACTCACCTAGTGCTGCAGTTAATGGTCTGTTCAGATTTACCTACATACCTCCATGCATTTGAAGGCATGGTGGTTAGAACAGGGATAAATTTTATCTTTTCTCATTCAAATGATTATCATGAGGTAATAATAGTGAGAAAACACAAATAGCATTAATATATTCTAGAATTTCCTATGAAAACCCTTATAAGCTGACATTGCATGTACAAGGTTACTAAATGTACATTTATTCTGAATAAAATTATTGTCCAGCAGAAATTTACCTTACCATCAATTCAGTCAGCTGCAAAGAGATATTTATTTCTAATTTAGCAAGTGGTGAAAATACCTCTCTTATCTTAAGAAAACAACATTTTTAAAATTATTCTTACCATTGATAGTAATATAACTTTTGTAGGATACTAAATTTGCTCAAAATAGAATTCCAAAACTGTATGCTGCATTACTAGCCTTATGCTTTGAAATTACAAAATTTTGATTTGGAATATGTTGAAATTTGGGCTATGGTATAAGAGGTTATTTATCTGAATATAACATATATAATGTAGTGCTGTACATTGTGGTGATAATTCTAGCTCCGGTACTCACCTGCCACAATGCTACGATCCCAGACACCTTCATTCCGTTCCGTTATGAGTATAGATGATGTTAGGCTAGTAGCCAGAAAGAATATTAACCTGCAAATAGATTGCAGTATAGAAGATTAGAGTTTTCTGAAGTGATGACTCATATTGCGATCTCCTGAGCAGGTACCCACCAACCAGACTACAGCATGAAGAAAGCAGTCTTCTGGGATTTGGCACCGTGTATATGTGGTGTTAACCGACGTTTCGGAGGAACGTATCGCCCCCATCTTCAGGGTTGAAGAAGTATAAGTAAATCTGCAAGCTCCGAAACGTCGGTTAACACCACATATACACGGTGCCAAATCCCAGAAGACTGCTTTCTTCATAGTCACCGCCGTGAAAGCCTCAAATCTTACAGACTACAGCATGTTGTCATAACATAGAAGACTACAATGCACTGCAATTGAAAGACATTATGGTAGATCTGGGAGTGAATGGGAGGGCAGTGCACTTGCACCCCAATTTATACTATGGTTTTGTTCGTGGCATATGTTCAGTAACTAAAAATAAAAAATTAGTAGAACAGTATTTTTTCTTTAGACTCAGTGTTAGAGGGTTAATTTCGTGAGTGTATATTTTTAACAGTGAATTTTATAATCATGAAATATCTTGGTTATTCAAAAGTAAAAAGCAGCTCATAGTACAGAAAAAGCATTTATATTTACAAATATAGCATTAAATAATGAACTTAATTGCATGGTACAGGGTATGTCCTGAGATGTTGACAGTTGGTCAGAAAATCGTTTTATGGAACCAGAACCATGTTCACAAAGACCCTCCATATAATGAGTTTATCACTGAAATCTGTATTCACTAAATTTTCAGTATTACTGAGAGTGGAGAACACTACTGAAGATTACTTAATTAAGTGCAAATAGGAGGTCTGAGATTTATAGAGGTTAACTGGGTCATCAGCAGATATTTTCGCTAATTCTAGACGAACAACTAAGTTTTCAGCTTCAGGGAGTTAAAACACTTTACACACATGTGCTAGCTCATACATGCACACATACGCATAAATATACACAAACACAGAAACATTTAAGCCAAAACACATAAATCAGGGTATATGTGAATTATATTGGAATTTGGAGAAATGGGTTTTGAAGGTGAGACCTGAATTGAACTGTCATATGAGAGGATCAAATGGTGTAGTTTTATGAGCACAGTAACTAACTTTTGGTTTGTGTGAAAACAGAGAAGCTGTTGACTGATTGAGGAAGATCCAGTTTCATGGAGATAGTTATGCTCAAACTGAAAACTAGGCTGCAGAATAAAGCATTTTGAAAGGTCTGACAAATATTTTCCTCTAAATGTCATGTGTTAATGTCTTGGATCACATTTATACTATAGGACTTGAAGAAGATTACCCTCTAAGGCTCCATCATTATTTCTTTCATGTTACATAATATTTAACTTGTGCTATTAAGAATGACTCAGACCTTAGAAAGTAATATTTTAGACAACTGATTCAGTTTGTGATAGCAAGGGTCATAATTTATATAAAGTGTTTATGTGTGGGTATGCTCTTCTGTTGCCATGCATGTTAGCAAGTAGTTGTGAATATGAGCAGAAGATGACAACATTGCAAGGTGTATTTAAGTCGATATACAGTGTCTACCTTCATCAAAGATGCTTCCTCTGATAACAGTAGCACTTAACGGTAGCTTAATATATAAATGTAGATGCTGTTTCAGAACTTTTAAAGTTATTGTGATACAGTAATATTATATTATTGTATTGTAATATCTGCATACACAGACAATTAACAATGCAACTACTCTGGGTGTGTGGTGCCAAGGGTGCATACATAACCACACTGACACTAACTCTACAGCAACTTCCTTATGAACTGCAAAAAAATCAAACATAATACCCACGTCAGAAAGGGCATGCTGAGCAAATAAATTCAAAAAAAAGCTACCCAAAAATATCTTTTAAACAAATGGACGACTGCAAGGGAAATATTTGGATGTTAATTCATTTTAATTAATAGCAGTTTCTTTTAATAAGAAATATTGCAGTCACACATCATATGTAAGTTTGACATACAGTGCAACAATTTTACCAAGAGAAAACGTGAGCATGGCTGTATATGGCCGAAACATGTAGTGAGGAAGAAAGGTGACTAGATAAGAAGCTGCATTTATAATAGAAATATATGTGAAATAAAAGATTAGTAATTTTGATATTTTCATATTGCAACATTAGTGGCCTTTGTGCTAATTGCAAATATTGCACAGAATAAAGAGATCATTGTTTGTTTTAGAGAGGTTTGTTTGTTAAGTTGTACTCCTGGTTAAATCAATCAATTAATCAATCAATATAGTTCATAGTATGCTTGTAACTATGTAGATTTATTTTGTTAACTTATATTACTGAATGACGTGTCCAAATGTTACTATGTAGCAAAACGGATGAAAATACAATAGAATACAATACAATACAATACAATACATTACAATCATATATACAAGATTTTACTTACGACATTATAAGCCCTGGAGCCATGAATACTGCGTAATTTTCATCATTCACACCATATACTGGATCATTGAACTGTGGGTGAAAATAATATTTTAAACGTGCCAGTTGAATATGGATATTGACATTATGTTCTGCAAGTAACGTTGTAATTTATCTGTTCACCTGCATTGGAACTTGTGCCAGTTTTGTACTTTGGTTGCATGCTCTCATGACATCTTGTGCCAAATCAAGGTATGCTTGCAGAAGATTTTTTTCCAAAAAGAAACCAATCTGACGATCTGCAACAATTCATTAAGACCCAGTTAGAATAGCTGCTTCTGAAGACAAGTGTTTAATATGCTCTAGTGGTTGGTATCCTAACCTACTATTCAACATGTCATGGATTAACCCCAAACTGTCACTACTAAAATCAAGAATAAATGACAGGTAGTATAAGAAGTATAACAATAACTAGTCACTTGAAGACAGAAGTAGAGCTAATTTCTGAAACATCACATACATCAAATATATCTCAGATAATTGACAGCTGTTATTGGCCATCAGTAATATAACATGCAGCCTTTCCTGCAGTATGTAACAAACATATTTATTATTCTTTCAAATGTAACCCTTTGTAGTTGTAAATAATCATGTTTGCCAACATACTGGACATGTCTAGGTGTACCCCTAGCTCGCTTTCTTCAATTGTTGTGTTTGATGCATCCTTCCCATCATCCAGACGCAACTGTAGCTGCCTGCTGAAGTTTCTATGGAAATGCAGCATTCCTACAGTAGCTCCTTTCTTCACAGACTCTATGGCTTTTTCCACATCATGGTAATATTCCTGCCAGGTTCATAAAACATATAGAAGATTGATTAAATGAAAGACGTTTCCTCTTGTATCCCCAGCCACTTTTAGAAAATATTTGCTTCTCATAGAAATATGTATAAGCAGATGACAAATTATTAATGACAAATAAAATTGTACTGGTACAATGCACTATTGCATGCAACCAGAAAAACAGAAGGCTTGGATGTTTACACACTTAATATGGTGATGGTGACACTTATTTCCTCTAATGCAGTGGTTTACAAACTTTATGCAGCTTATCTAAGATTGCATCTTGGCCCTTTTCTTAAATTCATACATATATATATTTTTTTTAAGTTTTTCAAGTTTAAAATCAACACACATTGTATTTAATATTTATCAAGATTCTACAAATGACATTTTAAGAATCAATTCTGATTTACAACTTTTCCAAAAATCCTGCCAATCTGGGAGGGTGTGCCCACACTTTGGAAACAGCAGCTGTAATATATCACCTTGCTTTGATTGATGCGGTTCAGATAGTTGCAGCTGAGACCATGAAAGTCACATGTTTCATCTTTATGGAGAATTGGTTCAGTGGGGTTGAAGAAACTGTACTGCATGCAGCTGGTGAAGTTTCCTAACTCTTCATCCACTACTGCCAACTTGAGTCCCTTGGGATCTCCACCAATTGCAAGGAAGAATATTACAACTTCTAGTACTGGGAATCCGAAAATGAAGAACAGGCCCCTGTGAATCAATTATATCGTCACAAATAGTTTTCAGGATGATGTGGGAAGACAGAATTTATTTTTTGACATAGCAGATTCTACAGAGAAGGCAGGCTTGTGCATTATCTGGTTGCAGAAAATTTAGGATATGTTGGAACACTGTAAGATGAGTAAACTATTACTATTCAGTGGTTTTAGGATCAAATTACCTTTTTTTGGAGTCCCATTAAAAAACCACTTTTTGCCTTTTTCAACTAGACACAGAAATACTATAGGTACCAATTGACTATTAAGATTACTATCCTCTGGGATGTGATACCATGTAGTCTGGTAGATATCTGCTGAAATTTTGGAGCAACATGCTGCCTTTTTCAGGGTTCAAGAATTGGTAAACATCAACCAGACTCCAAGGTATCACATTCCAGAAGGCAGTAATCTTCACAGTCACTGCCTTCAGAACTTCAAATGTTATAAACTGACTAATTTTTGTAACACATATTTCACGAATATGCCACTTGAGGCAATATTTAGAATACACTGTACGTGAAATATTTATTTGTGTGTTGGTTTGTTATATCGTAATCTGTTTAAAACTGTGGAATCCTGAAAAGAGGTACAGATGTGAATATTAATATGCCGCCACACTTTAACCTGAAAAGCTCATAATACAAATATAAGTTTGTACCACAACATCAATTTTTGGATACAAGTTTTAAATAAATTACAACATTTATTAAATATTTGAATGTCAAAACTGCACCATGGAAATAAGAAGTGACTTTAATAGTTTTTTCTAACAGAAATATGTTGTGGAGATCTTTGTATTTTATTACTGCATCTGAATTATTTTATAATGAACTGATTCAGTTTAAAGGAAAGATTGGTGGGGAATTGTTCTAAGATACAAGGTTTGGAAGAAGAATGTTTGCAGTTAATTAATAATGTTACTGTTTTTAAGTAAGTTCAAAAGGTTAAGCTGTCCCTGTAACAGGCCATGGAGGTCCGTGCGGTTGTGAGATGTTGAGGCTTCCACATTATCTAGACAGTCAGTTCACAGATGGCAGTTAGGTTGTCAGCCATATGTGCCAGCCGCCCTTTACCCCCTCAGTAAGTTTCCTGGTACTCATTTCTGTTTGAGGCAGTCAACCCCAGAGCCATAATGCAGCTGGAAGGAGTAGGTCAATTGAAAAATCAAATGACCTCGTTGGGAGCTGAACCTGAAACCTTCCAGTTTGTAGCATAGTGCCTCAACCAGCTGCTCTACCATGTGCCCTACTGGTTTTATGTTTTGTTTTCAAAGTTTTGAGTAATCAAAATCTGTGTGTGGAAAATTGAGCTACAGATTTTCTATGAATGCTGGTATCTTCAGGGATGTGGATGTTTAATCCATTGGAGTGTTACCAGTGTTTTGGAGAACCCATAGTTGAGGGTAGATCAGTGACAGTAAAAGAAGAGAGTGAACTTTATGTTCATTGCAATGAGAATTTCAAAGTCCACTGGAAGAGTAGACTATTGATAATATTTAGATTGAGTCATTAAAAATTGGAACATTGTTTGTGTGTGCGTGTATGTGTGTTCTGTGTTACACTGTTGACAGGTGTTTGTGATCAGATTAAGATTCTAGTCAAAAAGTCCACTACTTATCCAGGTTAAAACTAAGCAGAACTGTTAGACTGTAAACGAAACTGAGAAGGCAGATGGAGGGTAAGATCATGAAACTAAACAAAGAAAAATTATGTGCTTAAATGGGACATTAGTCTGACAGTCTGTGCAGGGCCCAACAAACAGAGGCCCTAGATGTTGCTAGGTACTCAAAGAATGTACAGTATAACCTGAATATCTGACCTTCTGTTATCCAGCATTCTGTATTATCTGACTTGAAGCTGAAGAACAAAACAATGACCTTTAAGATTTTACTACATACTAGAATACTACATACTATATATTGGTCCATAATGCAATTGTGAATCAAGCTCTATATTTTAATATTATTCATATTATTCGACGTTTTCAGTTATCTGATCACCCTTCCATTCAGTTTTGGGTGGATAATAGGGGTTTCACTGTACTGTATTTGCTGTTTAACTCACCCTAAATGACGAGAAATCCTATTAAAATTCTTGATGAGTAATGCACGCATTCGCTGTGAAGATGAAGTGTGGAACTTCCTCCTGTTGCCTTGTTCCTGAAACAGTGAGAATGATGTTTCTGAGTAATATATTTTTAGGGTTGTGTTAAAAATTACATTTCTTATTCACAAAGGTGAATTAGGTTCAGAGCTTAATCATGGATGCAGTACCTAATTTTGAAGGCTTTTCTCTTTATGTTGTGCCAAATAATTCAAGACAGATTTTAACCTTTAACTTCAGCTTCAGAATTCGGTTCCGTTGCTGACATATATCAGATTATAACAGCTGAAGTCTATGAATCTGTGTACCTGTGCATTACATCTGGAGACATATTCATGTGAGGTAACTGTGAAATATCAAGTAGTACACACACATACACACACACACACACACACACTATATATCTGTGCACATTATTATCAATGCATTCTTCTATATTAAACTCTCACAGGAAATAGTAACTCTGTTTATTTGCTTTAATGTTAAGTAATACTAATTTATGTCCATAGTGTGTGTTATGAAGTCTGTTCCATTTTCAGAACAATTGTGATTGTTTACCTACAGAACATTAACCATCTGAACACAGTAATTGAGCTGTGATGTGTTTTTTCTGGGAGGTATTAACATACTTTGAAATTATAGTTTAAGCTGATTCATCTTATAAAATGTTAAGTAAAGGAAATCAGTGTCCATTGTACAGTAGGCTGGGTGGGCCCTAGAGCTCATGTGGATGTTAAGAAGAAGAGAAAGGTCTCTTCCCTCTGGCAGGAATCGAACCTGGGCTTATCAAGCCCTTAGCGTAGTCCTTATACTAACTTAGCTGTTGATGTTAGTTTAAGAAAAAACTGTTTTGCTTTCTGTCTGTGTAGCTGTAGTGTGGGCAGCAAACTGGAACATGTTTGTCTGATTAGTACATCACATCTTACTGCAACTTACAGAACTGATGGTGTCGATGTGAGGTATCACTTGAGGTTCTTTCTCTTGCTCCATAATACTGTCCAATAGTGTGTCTGCCTGAAAGAGACAACATTTATATTCAGGCGTTCGAATAAGTAACCTTATATTGATGGACATGAACCACTGAGCACACTGGGTCAATTAATATGGTTTCTGACTTGTGTTCAGGAGGTATCTGGGTTGAATCTCAGTCAGGATACCGACTATCCTGACTGAGACTGTTCATGGTTTTCCTCAGTCTATCCAGAAAAATACCAGAACAGTACCTTCAGTTAGGTGATGACCACTTCCTTCCACATTCTCTCCAATTCATTATTCACTATCATCGAATCATTAGGTGTTCTACAGTCCAAGTTGTTGACAGCATTATTAAAATCAACAGAATAAATTTATGGTGGTGGCATGTTATGAGTACAATTATTTTAGACCACGTTTTTATATTTAAATTGATTTTGAATATATAATTTGGGTATAATATTGTCACGTGTATAAGTAATAGGTCTACATGCTACAGTATTATCTTTTTAATGAAAATCACTCATATAAACTTTAATATGTTATGAACATTACTAAACATTAAAGTCTTCAAGCTTATGCTGACATCTTTATGTGCTGTCACATTAGTGGATGGAACAGTGTGGGACTAGTCCATAATTTCACCTCAGTTTGATTGTTTTAAATGTTACCAAAGTAAATCTCACTGTTCTTCTTATCAAACCTATTATATGATACACATCTTTTGTATGTTGTTATATGTGACCAAATAATCATGGCATAGAACAAATAAAACTATTACAAATTAAGTTGACTATTTCATGTATCCATTCAGAAAACTGTAACCCTCGCTGGGTTAACGCATCTTACATAATGATTGGTTTTTGACCACAGTAAAAGATCAGGTATCTGATCCATAATTCTAATTTAGTAACATTTTCCAGGTAGTCATAACACAACGGTTATTTAAACATAGTTACCAGGCAACACAGTGTGCCATATGAAAGAGTACAAATTGTTTTATAAAATAAAACTTGTACTAATTCCAGTGTGCACATGTACACACATCTAATATCTTGATTCATAAGGACTAAATAATATTTATATAGTGATATGATTCTGGCAAAGAATGGTATGCTATTTTGAACAAACAGTACATATTTGGGAAAAACTATATTCCACCTTTGGAAATAGGTACTACATCACCAGGAGCTTAAAAGGAGCATGTTACCTCCCCCTTCGGGGTCAAAGAATAGGCCAAGGAAGAAACCAGTAGGAAGCATGCATCAAACAGAGCATATATCATGCTGAAAGTCTGGGTTTTTATAGGACAGCCTATGGGAAATGATGAGTTGCCTTACAGTTTCTCCTCTGGCAGGTTGCTCTGCTTTACATATGCTTCATGGTGGTTTCATGCTTGGTTTATTCGTTAACACTGAGGGTAGAGGTGACATGTTCTCCTGAAATGTCATTTCACTTTCAATGGACTACATGATGTTATAACATAGAAGACAGAGCTCTTAAGCAGTCTTCGTAGTTTCCCCTATGAGAACCTCAAATCCTGCATTACTGACAAGTGTTCTTACAAGTGTGGAACGTATATCAGTATCTGCTTCTTCCTGCTTCTTACTGAGGGTAAGAAATACTTCTTCTAAATTTGAAGAGTTGAATGCTGACATCAGTTGCTGTGGTGGTCTTTCTGCCAGCAGTTTTCCACCCCTCATTAGACCTATCTGTATGAATAAAAAATCAAAAACTTAATTTCAGTTCCTGGATATTTACACTTCCTTCTCTCCAAGTGTTTATCCATCTGCTTTGCTGTAGAAAATGCTTCAAAAGAAGGACAGTCACAGACTCAATGGATATAGTGTTACTGATCTGACAGTGGTCAGGACCACACCCAAGATGATTTGGATATGCATGCAGTGCTGTTTAATTGTATATAGTCATTTCAAAACATTCTGAAATTAATATTTCTTATTGCACATTGGCACTAACTTCGCCAAAAAATGGCGGTTGCTTGGTCGGTAAAGAAGAAGGCAGTCTTCTGGGTNGCTTGTGGACTAGAACCACAGCGTTTCTTTTTTCTTTTGTATTGCACATTACAAAAGACCACCAGAAATTTATAACACTTCAAGTTAGGTGACCTGGCTGAGAACCATCTCAAAAGAGATACTAGTATAGTCAAGTATTTAATTCATATGTTTTGAAGGTCAGGGCACATGGTAGTGTAGTTGGTTGAGGCACTATACTACAAGCTGGAAGGTTGTGGGATCAAATCCTGATAAGGCCATTGGGTTTTTCAATGGACGTAATTTTTCCTACCGCATTATGGCCCTGGTGTCGACTCAGGCTCTAACAAAAATGAGTACCAGGAATTTTCCTGAGGAGTAAAGGGCAGCTGGCTCGTTAGGCTGACAACCTTACCGCAATCTATGAGCTGACTCTCTAAAAGGTGTGGGAGCCCCGACTTCTCACTCCCCTATGGGCCTTCACGGCCTGTTACAGGGGCAGCTTTACCTTTTTTTATGTTTTGACGGCCATCTCTCTCAAACATTTATCAAGGAACGTATAAAATCAAACCTTAATTTACAAAATCAATTCATGGTTCGCACTGGCAGGAGTTTAAAGGAAATAACATTAAGATGTCCCAGAATCTCTATGCAATACAACCAAACTTGTATGTACAAAATTTATTCAAAATTACAAATAGCATGTGTCAAATTTACAAAACTGATCTACAGATATATGAAAATGATAATTTATTCATTCCAATTTTATAACTGTTTATTTTAAATTTATGATTTTGACTCATGGCTCTATTATGATATAATTCAGAGTCATGAATTGTATGACTTTGAATTATTAACAATTTTAGTCTTAAAGTTTACAATAGCAGTTTGCAAAAAGAGGACATTTCTATGAGGACTGTAATGTTCAACTAACATGATCGATCTTTCGGTTTAACATATTTCTCCATGACTTTTCAATTAGAGTACATTATTTCTTGTAGAAAATTCATGTCTGATTAACATGCTCTCACTTTACACAAAATTTTTCAAGAAGCCATCTGTTCTGTTATTTGGGGACTGATAGTATTTCGTAAGTTTCAAAAGATGTGTGTACAGAAATTGTTGTTTTGGATGAAGAGACTGTGTAATACATTAACCCTGTAGAAAACGCCACTGTGTATCATTAAAATATGACATTTCACTTACCACATCAGCTTCTTTGGCCTCCTCTATGTAATGAGTTGTAATGACAACTGTCATTTGATGGTTCGCTGTCAGCTGAACAAGGTAATCCCAGATGCTGTAACATTCACCTCAAAATTTAATTTTATCTTGAAAATGAAGGTTTGATTACCTTATTGTGGCAATTTTACTTACATAAATTGCTATTTTAATGTATGCATATGTAGTAAGTTAGTCACCAAGTTTGTGATGAGGCATCAATACAGGCATAAGGAAGGTATTATGTATATTAAACATAAGCAGAACTATCAGTTCTTGCTTGTGATATGGTTTCTTACCTTGTCAAGTAACAATATAAAGTAGCTGAAACTTCATTGAAAATCTACCAATCTAATTAAAAGGGAAACTGACATGAGGATTTGAACTGCATCCAGAAGCTGGACCATGATACTTGCACACCATTCTAACAGCCATGGCTGCTGTATATATTCGCAAGGTTACACAATAAAGATGCAAAACCTTAGCGATGTTCTCTGTTACATACCAAGTAGGAAGCAAGAAACTGACACAAAATTTACTTTTTTATTTATGTTATAAATCATTAATTATGTCTTAAAGAGCATGATTATCCCAATTTGTAAGAAATATTCCAGGAAAGTATAGCTGACATTAAGATCCATACTCTCTTTGGCATTGCAGAGAGGTGAATGGCCAGCTTTATACTCCTGTGACTTTAACCTGGTACTCATTGGACAAATCATAACAAAAATTCCTTACAAATATATTGTGAATGAGATCACCGTTAAAGCATTAACTCAGTTACCTAGATCGTAGGACAGGATCCAGTCCCACAGTAGGCTCGTCCAGAATCAGTAGCTCTGGGTTATGGACCAGTGCTGCGGCAAACGAAACTCGTCTCTTTTGTCCACCGCTATGAAAAATATAGCAATATAATTATTAGTTTGAAAGTATATGGAAATGATTAGTTTGCATCATTACACACCCCGTTGCTGCTCCCATTCAGATGGTATTGTGAAACCTTTCATGTTACGAATACTTACTAAAATAAAAAATATAATTATTGTTTTTCTGAACATTACCCATAGTCCTGTTTCTAATTAAAACACAATATTTCAAAGGCTGGAATATATGCTGTGGACCTGACTGTGATGTATAGACCCATGCCTAGGCAGTGGCTCAATAAACATGTTCCCGCAGAGACAGATTCTTGGTAAACAACCCACTGCTAGGTAATGCCTGCAACAATATGTGACAGTAATAGACGTCCATTGTCAGGCAAGGAACATGTTTTCTGCGAGGTCATAACTGACTCTATATAACAGTTAATGACTCTGGCTGCAAGAGAAGGCGAGTCGTATGAGGCGACAAAGAAGGAAATGTCAAATCTGAGACAGTAAAATATGGTTACGAGTCCCAAGAGACTAGGACATGAGAAAGACTGTGCTGCAAGGGCCGTCAGTATATACAAAAGACAAACCCGTCCTCTCATCAGAGAGGGCGCCCCACAAGTGAAGACCATAACTGTCAAAGAGTAATAAATATCACTGACTGACTGACCAACCGTCAGTCGCAATGTGACCTTGACTATGGGTCCAAGAGGAGTGGATTAGTGTAGTATGGTAAGAAGTTGAGTGTGTCCACTCAAAGAGAGTGATAACAAGTTGTATAAAGGTCCAATAAATTTGACCATGAAATCCAAAACCCATTTTATAATTCATGCAAAGCCCTAAAATTTGTCAATACAAAGTTTAGCTCTGAATTAGGTTCCACCTGAAGACAGAGGCAGAATCCAGTCTCCGAAACGCTGTGTGTTTTAAACAAGGACAGGAGGATGGATAACGTCCAGAAACACAATAATTGTATTAATATACCATTGTCATAGATTTTCAGATCTTATTAAATTTTAGGTTGCTTCACTAGCATAACAAAAAATAACTTTTTAGAAGGCTGTATAAATGCAAGCAGGGAGAGTACTCCTATTTGATATTTAGCTTTAGGATCATAACTATTTTTTTTTAATTAATTTTCATTTCAAAATAAAAGAAATTACAAATTGCGAACTAATGTATTAATATGGTTGATTATTTCATAATTTTAAAGTGGAATCACTTGTTCTCGTACATGATTTTTGCACAGTAAGAATCTAATGAATTCTGAACTAAATTAAAATAATTAATCATAATTCTGGTACTAGTACAATCTCCACATAAGTGTTATGGTTACATCACAATTACTATATGCTTCTGAAAGTAGGCAATGGCATTTCTTTCTTCAAACCTATTATGGTAGTACCATCATGACAGTTTATTCTAGAATTACATAAGGACATGTCCCTCCACTGAGACACCTCATGTAACTGTCATCCCAACATCAACCTTTCTGTGCCCTGATAC